TTCTGAACGCTCACAGTTTAAGATCCCGTCAATAAACACCAGTCACAGTCTTTTGTAAGTTGTTATGCAACAGAGTGGCTTGAATATGAGTTTAGCCTTATTCAAATCTGTATGTACATGTTTTCGCAAACTGTAAGCTTCGCTTTACGAGGATTTACAAGACGGACAAAAAGTTTCGATCGTGGCAGAAAACAACGGTGCAAACAGACAGGTAAAAACCGGGATTGAATAATATAGACATGTACAAGCACTTAAGTTTGAACAGATTTAAGCTCACGGACACATGAACTTGCACTGTCATCATATTTATTTGTCAGTTCCTCTAAATGTTTTACCACCAAACTAAACTGACCTTTCTTCTTTTTCTTCTTCTTCTTTTTCTTCTTACTCGAAGAGACTTCATTAGCGTCCACTAAGTCTTCCACCTCGTCATCGCCATCCTCTGGCATCTCATTAGTGCTTTCTTTTTCCAAGCGTGGTTCTTCCGTAAGAACCGCCGCCATCTTGAGTCCGAGAAAAAACTGACAGAGTAGCCAGGCCATGTAACCAGGCTATATTTTGGGAAGCTGCAGAGGAAGCTGGAAACTAAACACCTATGAACTGGGACCCAGTTCTCACTCAAAATCGGTCTGTTTACTTCCATGGTGCGATGGCCTCATTCACTTTGCGAGAACAATCACTGCGTTTGATGAGACTTGTAGGAGCAGCATCGTAAGCATTTTTTTGCGTATTTACGAGTGTTTAAACCTTTAGAGGGTGTTTTCTCCAGCTCTAGGGTTGTTGTCGCCCCAGTTTGATACATCGATCGTTCCCCTGCGAATCCTGGCATGTGACAGTCAGTGCACTTTCGCTGGAGGTGTGTCCCAGTGGGGGATGTGGCACACAGCATGTATTTCAGAACGCTTAGCCTTGACAAAGAACCCTAAAGTTGTGACCAGTTGCGACTGAAACATTTAAATCAATTCATTTGTCAAATAAAAGATTGGAAATCAAAGGCTTGTACTAATGCTGCAGATGTTAGCTTTAAGGTTTTGTTTGTTTGTTTGTTTGTTTGTTTTGATTTGCTTAGCTGAGAATTCGGTGCTATAAAACCTGAATCCGCATCTTATCATATCCTAAGGGGTTGAATCCCCAGGCCAACCAGGAGGATTATGTAAAAATGTATGTATCCAATGCCATAGATTTGCCAATAATTTTCAGAATTCTTCAGCAAGTTAAGAAATGTTCGTGGTACTGAAACACAGCCTTGATTACAAGGGATGTAAATGTCAGTGCCCCACACACGTTTTAACTGCTTGCCCAAGATAATGTGGATCATGTGCACAAAAGGGATCCGTGGTCGAGTGGTGATCAATATACTCTTCATCTATGCCCTCGATCGAAATCTTGATCAATACTTGATCAATATCCTGATTAATAATCAGTTGACACTCTATTGACACTTGATCAACACTCGGTTGATAGTCGGCGGAATGTCGCTCAACTTATGTGAATCGATTGAAAATTTGGTCGACTCTCGACTGAGATGTCAATGGAGTGACGATCAAGTGTCAACTAATGTGTCGATGAAGTGTTGATCAAGTATCGACTGAGGGTTGAGTGAGGGTATCGATTGAGGATATTGATCGTCATTAGACCGCAGATCCCTTTAATACACATGATCTGATAATTTTTGAATAGGCATACACACACATGGGATAACCTATGTAAAATGTTATATTAAATGGCTTCAACAATTGGTTGAAAACTATGTACTAAAACCACGAGATATCTAGATGTCTAGAAATTCCGATTCTTTCTGTGGGGAGAGTATGGATTTGTTTTTTTGGAAACTAATACATTTTGTTTTCTTAATGTTATTTTAAATTAGATGCAGATGTCCAGCTCACTCACAAACCTTCTCACCAGGTGTGCAGAGAAAAATCTTAACCTGCTAGTTTCCTTTCTAGTACTCCAGGGAGAGGGGGGAGGGGGAGACTCACTTATATTGGCCATATACATGTAGGTACAATGTATGTGCAGCACCAAAGGGTGTGGTTTTTTAGCCATTTTGGTAATAAAAGGTATCGATTTTGGCCATTTTGGTCTCAACTTAAAGGGAATGGTTTTTGAACTCTAGTCTTGAATTCAGTATTCCATGGTAATAGATGTCCAACAGTAGCAATCAAATGAAAGAATGAAAGATGCGAATGCAGCCATAACACTACTGGAAAAATGGCCTGAAAAAATTTCAGGCAAAGGTCGTGGGTTCGAATCCCATTCAGAGCCTGAAATTTTTTCAGGTCATTTTTCCAGTAATGTTATGGCTGCATGCGCATCTTTCATTCTTTCTTGAATTCAGTATGTGTTTTTTTTTAGAAGAAGCTACTTTTTCATCATTTTTTGCTAAGAACATCAACAGAAGCCTTTCACAAAGTCTTAACATTGGTCTGAACTTAAGATAACTAATTATGAGACAGGTCTGAAACAGGATATTGATTGAAGGGTCCCTGGTCTTAAATAACTGTACAGTTAGGGTATCAACTGAAAGTTTTGGTGAGGTCATAAATAGGGTAGGGAAAATAACAGATATTTTTGGTCTTAATAAATAGGGTAAGGGTGTTGAGAAATGAGCTGCACACCCCCATTCCCCAAGCGATTTGTCTGGGAGTACCTCCGCCTGGCTTAGTGCTACTGATGAGCTGGTTTTATTACCTTAATTTGCTACTGTCCATTGCCATGGTGCCCTATTTGATTTTTGATTAAATAAATGCATTTATTGGATCATTAACCTTCGGTTGTTATCAAAAATGCTAATTAATAATGAACTCCAACTTCTTATAATAATTTGGTTTTGTCAAATCAGATTCTGTACACTGGCATATGTTTGAATTTTACATTGCCTTAATTATGACATTGCGATATGGATGTGATCTTCACATATTTTAGTTTAACTACTTTAAATTTTTGTTTTCATTTTTGTACCAGGGCTATCATCTGCTGCAAAAGATCATGTTGAACCAGAGTATGCATTTGAGGTAAGTATAACAGTCAGGAATTATTAATAAAATATTACTTGTTAAACCCTGTGATGTCAGGAGGTGGGGCTTAGGTTGGGGGGATCCTTGCAAGGCTTTTAGGTCGGGCTATCTCAAACGAAATAACGCATTGTACTCATGTTGGTGGAGGTGTGGTGGCCTCATGGTAAGTGTGCTTCAGACTTTGGATTCAGCAGTCTGATTTGAGCCCTGGCCAGAGACGTTGTGTAATTATCATGCAATGTTCTTGGGAACACCCAGGTGTTACAAATAGGTCTGCTGGCAAATTTAATGCCGGTGTTATCCTTGCATCCCAATATTCCAGTGGAGAGTAGAAATATTCCTAGTTGCTTCATGCTACAGAACCCAGGAAGCTCTGGCCTAATGGGCCACTTCCAGGCTTTTACATCCAGACTTTTCTTTTTTAATTTACACAATTTTGAACAATGCATGAGGAACCCAATCCAGTCTGGATGTGAAAAATTGATTAGATATCATGCAATCATGAATGGTCTACATGTATGTTCTAACGTGTGCATTAAATGTACTTGAACACGTAATTCTAGCCACAGCCATTGTCATTTTGTTTCTGGTTTTAATTATTAGGTGGCAAATTCTAGCGTCAGGTATGGGGAAGGAGTCACCAGAGAAGTTGGCATGGTAAGCTTGCTGATTAGCTAATTTCTGCTCTTGGACCATACTGTACATCATTTATGACTGCACAATTATTGTAAACTAATTTAAAACCAAGTTCCCTTTGATTACACTTTAGCTGACATGCTCTGATATTGATAATTTGTATTCTGACAGGACTTTAAAAATCGTGGCCTGAAGAATGTCTGTGTTATTACAGATCAAAAGGTTGTACCTTATTGTTGTTTATTATCCTTTGGGTTTACTGAGACCCATACAATAGATCATATTCGTGTTCTTGGAATTGGACTGGAACTAGCTTGCAATGGAGGCTCAGGCTTGGGAATATCATTAAAAAGAGAAAAATGTAATTTGCAGTTGAAGACTCCCCCCCACATCAGCCTCAGTTGCAAGCTAATTCCAGTCCAATACTGGGAGTAGGAATATGGTTTATTGCACATCTAATATTAAAAAAAAAATTAATTTAAAGTACAAAGAAAAAATTGGATTCCTCTTTGGTAAAATAAAATGGAAAATAATAATTTTTTTCTAAATAACTTCTAAAATAACTTCTTCTTTAATTAGTTATGTACCAACTACCTTTCACTACCAACTATAACTACCTTACTCCACCCAGGTGTATAAATGTGTACCAGGGAATTTTATGCGGGGGGAGGGAAGGAGTAACCCTGCAATGTTGCAATGGACTAGCATCCCATCCAGGGGGAGTAGAAATACTCCTAGTCGCTTCATGCTTCTGAAACCTGGATAAGCACCCGCCCTATGAGCCACTTGGCTCATAGGCAGACTTAGCCTTAACCTTACCTTAACTTAATGTACCAACTAAAGTTCTAAAAATTGCTGTTAGAGAATATTGGCCATTTCCGAGTTGCCCCTACTAATACTTCTATTTAAAACGAGTCTTAGTGCATGCCTGTCGTATTGAAATAAGTTTTTCTTGCACGTTCATTGTCTTGCAAGTCAAACTCATTTCCATATGAGAGGTTGTGTACCAGAACTGGTTCATTTTGAAACAGACTGTGGTAAAAAGTAACTTGGAAATGGTTTATTGGGTTAGAATTGTACTGTATGGTAGCAGGCAACTACTAAGTAAACATACTTATGAAATGTTAATTTATAGTTGGTGACTTTGCCTCCTGTCAAAGAAGCCATTGAGTCTCTTGAAACCAGCCATGTTAGATATGAACTTTTCGACAGAGTAAGAATCGAGCCAACAGACACCAGGTATTGAAATTAAAAAAAATAATGTATTAATATGTACTTTACAATTATATTTAACAGCTCATTGGCAGTCACTAGCTTTTTTGCATAGTAATATGAAAAATGTTATACAATATACAAGTTTACAGTAATTTTGACACATTTGATCGTGGACTATATCATATGTACTGATGGAAAAGGGGACGGGGATGGGATGGGTAGCCAAGGAGACCAAGAACTCCCTTTCACTGAAAATTTAAAATAAATTATACTAAATTGCTAAAGATTTGAAGCATAACATTTTTGTCCACCAATAAAAGTACCCTGGCTCAGAATGCAGAACAATAGAAAACCCAGCATGGGAATAAAAGAACAACATTTTAATGTTATTACAGGTTAAAAGTTGTAGTTAAAGATGTTGTTCTTTCTCAGTTTTAAAGATGCTATTGAGTTTGCCAAGCGAGGTCAGTTTGACTCGTTTCTTGCTGTCGGTGGTGGCTCGGTGATTGACACTGCCAAAGCTGCTAATCTGTACCTCTGTCATCCAGAAAACGACTTCCTGGATTTCGTGAATGCACCTGTCGGGAGAGGATTGCCTATTGACAGAACTTTGAAGCCTCTTATAGCAAGTGAGTGCCTTGTCTTTGAATTATGGATTTCTTCTCTTGGCACTAGCTTCTCAGGGAATACCTTGACTCTGAAGATGACTTACAAATGCTAAGGTTGAAGAAATGGTGGCCACACCCACATGATCACTTTTAAGAACAGACAAAGAGATTAAGACAAATTTTCAAGTTGGATGTCTTTGTCGTTTCTTTGCATGACTAAACTTTCTATGAAAATTAGTTATTATAACCAAATCTATCCCTCAAAATGCTAGAAATACAACAGATGAAAACTTTCAGACATTTTACAAAACAGTCTGCATGTTAATAAGACTTTTTTTTGAGTGAGATACGTCTTTCTTTTTCTTATTTGGACATCACTACTTTATAATAATAAAGTTTGAACTCGTACAATGTTTGTGCAGTCGAAAAACTGATTTTGACATGTGCTTTTCTTGTTCTATCCACAGTTCCAACAACGGCTGGGACAGGTATGCAATATTAACAGTTTTTTGGCCTGGGGGTGAGATTGTTGATACTATTATCACATTTTATGTTATTAAGTATCATGACGACATTCAGTCATGCATCTTAAGAAAGTTCAAAGGTGGAATTCTCTGTTGGTAAGCTGAGAAAATGGTGGCAGGAGGCGCGGTGGCCTCATGATTAGTGGGCCCGTCTCTGTATCGAGCAGTCCAGGTTTGAGCCCTGGCCGGGGACATTACGTTGTGTTCTTGGGTAAGACACTTTACTCTCACAGTGCCTCTCTCTACCCAGGTTTATAAATGGGTACCGGCGAACTTAATGCTGGGGGTAGCCCTGTGTGGAGGTGTCCCATCCAGGGAGGAGTAGAAATACTTCTAGTCGCTTCATGCTACAGAAACCGGGATAAGCTCTGTCCTGGTGGGCCACTTGGCCCGTATGCAGACTTTTTAAAGAGAAAATGGTGTATACCTGGTAGTTTGTGTCTTCTAACTATGGCGGGTTTTTTTGTTAAATCTTAGGTAGCGAGACAACGGGTGTGGCTGTCTTTGACTATGAACCACTGAAAGCTAAAACAGGTATCACTTAATTGAAGCCTCTTTTAAACGTGAAAACGTTTCACTTTATTAATGATTGATGACAAAAGAGTGAATTATGAAATTTGACTTTCCTTACTTTGGTTTGCATAAATTCATTTCTAAATTTTTCAAGTTCGTTGTTTGTAATCCATGTTAATCTTCTCCATCCTTAACCATCCTTTTTCTTTCAGATATATTATTATTTCTTTAGTGTTTTTCTGTCTTAGTAAACTACTATTTTCAGGTTTCCTTCAGTTTAAAAGTACGTGAGAACTACTTTTTGTACTTTGCCAAAATAACTCAAAATACCATGATGACTGTAACGTACAAACCGTGTATCAACAGACGTACTAATTTGTCTGGCATTACACCTTGATTTCCACACTGATGACATAACCCTACAAAGATCCGTGTAGCGCTCTGATTGGTTGTTTCTCAGGTTTGAACTTTCGTGCGCAACTATGAACAACCAATCAGAAGATGTGATATGGATCTCTGTTCGTAGTGTTATTAGTGAGGAATTTGTCTAGATGACTCTGTCACGAGCGAGGGAAGGAAACGAAAATGCGACAGGAAAAGTGCCTGTTTTCATTGCCGTTTCTACAGGTATCGCCAACAGAGCCATTCGTCCAATGCTAGGCATTGTGGATCCACTGCACACCCTTCATATGTCTGAGCGCTTGACAGCTAACAGCGGTTATGACGTGCTATGGTAAGATTCATCAATGGTGTTTTAAGCGCAAGATGATTCATAGAAATGTATGTATGTTGAAGGGCCACGCGTTTGTCCTTGCAGTTCAAGCCTTGGGAGAGGGACTGGCGCGTGAGAAGAGAGGCCCTGCCGTCGAATGGACAAAATGGCCGCATATTTCAGTTTTTGGCCAATGTTTTTGAGACGAATGTGCAAAGCTTTTTTTGCTAGTCAAAGGGTGGTTTGACTTGTCGATTAACAACTTTGTTGTCATAAACGCTTTTATTAACGCTCGCTACCGTAAGCTACCTCTGATGACTTTTGCATTAGCTATTGATGAGTTATGTTGTTTTGAGTGAAACAAGAACTGAATTTTGCTCCAACCATGAACCATGCATTCTCCTTTTTTCACCTTTCTGGTATTTTTAGTTTTTACACAGTTTTCAGTCATTTGTTGGTCGTTTTCAATGAAATTAAGACCAGTTTGTTACTTAAAAGCGATAGAGCACTTTTTTCCGTGTTTACATAGCCTGAATCTAAACCGTGCACCAGGAGGGAGAATTCGAGACAGGAACTTATAAAAACCCGACACTCAGTTGAGGGTTTGCATAACTTTTGAGAATCCTCCCAGCCCCCCGAGTATTTATACGAGGCTATGTAAAAATGGAAAAAGTGCTTTTTGCTTCTACAAAATAATTCTCAAAACTACGCGCGAATCTAAAACGTCACAATCGTGTTTACATACTCTCATCTAAACACGCCTATCGACCAATGAGAGCGCGCGTGGTAGTTCAGTTATTTTTATAAAACACGATTCGCCGAAGGTCACCCTGCACATAGTTGAATTGCAGTCCTCTAGTTACCTAACTGAGACTTAACTGTAGTTTAGCGAAGACTGTACTCCAACAGGTGTTAGGTTGATTACACTAGTAATGCGAAGCAGCAAACAATTTCGTTGTCATATATTTCTCTCGTTCTTCACAGTCATGCTATCGAGTCGTACACAGCCATACCGTACCAGATGCGAGGGCCACGACCTCCAAACCCCAACATGAGACCAGCGTATCAAGGAAGCAATCCAGTCAGTGATGTATGGGCCAAACATGCGCTCAGTATTGTCTCCAAGTACTTAAAAAGGTTGGAGAATTATTGATACAGTAAAAAATTTCATGTACGATCTCAGTTTTCTATATCTGATGGCGATTGTCCTGCTTATAGTGTGTAATGGGCTATTGCCAACAAGGCTATCAGCCGATAGAGACCATGTTTTTAACAGCCAAGCCTCCGTTCGTTACTCCGTGACAGCATAGTTAACCATGGTGACAGTCAACTGTCCAGTAAAACGCTGGGAACATGCTGAAAAATAATGGACAGTATTTTATAGATGATAAGATATGCCATTCTGGTTATCTAGCTACTTGGTACTGCTTGAGTTTGATTCGAAAGAAAGAGGTGAGCAGTATTTGAATTTACTTCATGGTATTAATTTTAAACTTAATCCTACAGATCAATTAAGGACCCTGGTGACTTCGAGGCCCGGTCCAGCATGCACTTGGCGAGCGTTTATGCAGGTGTGGGATTCGGAAATGCTGGCGTGCACTTATGGTAACGTGAGATTGTCTTGCTTTTATAGACGGACAGACAAACAGACAGACTGCCAGGCGGACGAACGGTCGGAGAGACCGATAGACAGACAGACAGGCGAAGGGACACACTAATTGACAGTCAAGCAGATTGACTTACAAAAGACAGACACAAAAAGCTGACGGTACGGAAGGAAGGACGAATAGATGGACGGACGAAGACAGACAGACGGACAGACAGAGCCTGATTTCTCAGGACATGTTTCAAAAGCTTCAGGATACTTTGAAAATGTCTTTTTCTAGGAATTGACAATGCAATAACCTATAAACCGCTTGATGCTATGTTATGAGCACATTTGAAAATCTCGTCAAGTACTTCTCTTCGATCCGTGATTCGCTAACCACTCTTTAACTGGTAAACCAGACCTGTATGGACTATTACCTCAGCGTAATAAAAAAATAACAACTTGAATTTCTTTTTTACAGCCACGGCATGTCCTATCCCATCTCTGGCCTGGTCAAATCATACAAAGCTAAAGATTACGACGCGGATCACCCTCTTGTGGTAAAAAATCGTTAATACTTGTTGCGCAAACATTTATGTTGACATATCCGCACGTTACAACATTTCAACCATCATTGCCTAAACTGGCAAGCAAGATCCGATGTTTTCAGTAGTGAAACCAATATGGCACTACTGCGATGAAAGAATAAACTGCAGCTTTTTAATACTTCTTTACTCAGAGTAGAAATATGAAAAAAAAGGCAACAGATCATTGTGTTTGGGTTAGATATTGGAGAGCCAAAAAGCAGGAAATGACGAATATTTGTGCCACGCAACTGTGCGCAATCTTGCATATTGTGGTAAAACAATAAAAACGACTTTATTTAGTGTCAATGTATTTAGCACTGCTGTATTTTCTTTTTGTTCCTCAGCCACATGGTTTGTCCGTAGTGGTGACATCGCCAGCTGTGTTCCGCTTCACGTCTCCAGCGTGTCCCGAGAGGCATCTGGAAGCAGCTCAAATCCTTGGTGAGCTAATGATATATGATTACTACTAGTAATATATTATTAAAAGAGCTCAGTCACGGTATTTTGAGTTATTTTGGTCCCGTAGAAAATTACCTTTAAACTGAAGGAAAATTGAAAATAACAGTCTACTAAGATAGAAAAACACCAAAGAGATAATAATAAACCATAAAGAAACAAGGATGGTTAAGGATGGAGAAGATTAACACGGATTGCAAACGAAGAACTTGAAAAAATTAGGCTAAATCTTTCAAGATGCGCAAACCGTGACGTAGCTCCTTTTATATCGCTGATTTCTACCCCTGAAGCTTAAGTCTGCACACACTGGTCAACGTAACCCACTACCTCAATCCCAGGGCCCTTCAAAGTTCCCAACTTCCCTAGTGGGGAAAAGGGCCCTGGAACTTCCCTGGCACTCATACCGTCGGTGTTCATCGCAGTTTTCTGAGCAGTATTTCTACTTCCCCCTGGATGGGATGCAAGTCCATCGCAGGTTACTCAGCAGCATTTTGTTAGATTGCACCACTTAGCGGTACTTGTTTATAACCTTGGGTCGACAGAGGGGCACTGTGAGAGTTTAGCGTATTGCCCTAAAACACAAAACAATGACTTCCGCCGGAAGTTTCTTGGACAATTCTGTCCAACNCCTCGTTAATTCCTGGCCAGACAAATGTGTCCTACGCATTTTTTGGCCGACCCTGTGTTTTAGCGGTTGTCAGACTTTTCAGTAAAACAAATGAAAGCTGAAGTTAACTCTGATTAGATATAGCCTGTGTAGCAAGCGTAAAACGGGGGGGGGGGGGGGGGGGGAGGGGGAGGAGGAAGGGGAGGCGCAATGTGGTTTACATTACCCTCTGTAAAAGACCAACCCGTGAGACAAGGCCAAAACACAACACCAGGAACTCCGTTACCTTACTGAAACCCCGACCGCTTGCTCTAATTCGGAGTCAAGTGCACTAACCATTTAGGGCATTGCGCCACCCTTTCAGCCATTAAGAAGGTGGAGAAAAGAGCAAATCTCGCATTCTTGTTTGTTGCGTTTTTAAAGGTGCCGACACCACAAATGTGAAGCTAGCTGATGCCGGTTTGTTACTGTCCGACACGCTCCGTGACTTCATGTACAGTACAGGAGTTGATAACGGACTTACCGCCCTCGGATATCAATCTGAAGATATCCCAGCGCTTGTCAAAGGAACTTTGCCTCAACATCGTGTGACAAAGCTGGCGCCAGCAGGGGCTCCTGGGGAGGAAGAACTTGCGAGGCTTTTTGAGGATTCTATGACATTGTATTGATTCTTTGAAGCTGTTTTGTCCCAGGCTCTCTCGGCTCGAGCACTAGTGGGCGAAGACCCTGGAAACGAAATTGTGTGTCCTTCTGATTTGAAGGGAAATATATATGGGGCTTTCGGTCGACTCGAAGCCTGATTGACTGGAAATTGTGACTCGAATTAAATGTAACTGTCCTTGCACCAACCTTGGGCTAACTTCAGATCAAAGATCGTAAGATTCCTTTAGTGTAGCATGTGACCCAGGGAAAATATTTTTATTACATACAAATCCTGCACTAAATAACAGGTAATGTATGACGAACAGCCAAATAAATGTACTGAATTATGCAGGAAAATAGTAATAAATTTTATTACATCTTGGAAATCGAAAACTGGCAATAACTCCATAGCTTAGAGCCTCAAATATGGGAAAATCAGTTCTTTTTATCGTTTGTATGAAATCGAAAAGCAAAGTGACTTTTAATCTCCCCTTTTTACATGTAATTACTGACGAGTTCTAGACCTGAAGTCTATTTCGATTGTCGTATTTTTTAGATGATGTGTAAGTAACAGATTGCTAGTTTTAAAAGAAACACGAAAACGAGTTTCGAGACGTGGGTGGTTTTGAAAGTTTGTATTAACGACTCTGTAATCATTTTTTAGTGTGAATAAATCTTTCGATTGCCATAGCAAATGCCAAGCCTGAGTTTATGAGGTGAAAACTCGCAAGTGAAGTAAAAAAGACGGCTCCTCGTTTAAAAACCCAAGATGTCGGTTTGGAGGGGGGAGGGGGTGGGGGAAGGACTTCATACAACCTCACCTTCTAAGGGTGGGGGTGGGGTAGCTCACCCTCTTGGGGTCTCTTCGGGGGGATGTGGGGTGGAGAGGGAATAGAAGAAGACACCATTGTGTGTGTGGAGTAATGTCCATGACTAAAATGATAGTCTTCTAGGACAGAACATTTTAGCCTAGGATTCTTCTAGTGTGATAGCTAAACAAGAGCCGAAAAAGGCGTCTGTTCTCTTAAACTACCAGTGTCTCTACCTACTACAAAGAAAAAAAAGCATTCGATTTTGTGGAAAGCGAGAAGAAATGCAATAGACACAAATTCACTCGCAGTTCCTTTTAGGAATCAAGTCGCAAATACTACCCACTCTATTTTATTTGCAGTACTTTATCAGCAGTCCCCTTACAAACACCAGCAGAATATCAAGAAGAGTAAAGCGTGATCACTTAAACCTTAAAATGTTTCAACATGATATTCAGACTTTCGATATATTAAAATTCAGCATGATAATGAGGACACACAAACACAAGAAATGAATAAACATGGTCATTCAATTTCCTTTGTTTGTGTCCTAAGCCTCGCTGCCAAGCTGAATTTAAATAATTATATCGCAAGTGGTCTATTGAGAAACATGAATTAAATTGAATTTGTACAACCCCAGAATTGATGACTTGAGTCTTATTTACCTTATCACATAAAGAACATTGAGCAAGTAGGTACTTATGTTAGCGAAGTCTGCCTTCAAAAAGCCGTTTAACGAACAAAAATATTTCCATGTGGATTAGCCACATTTGTTAACTGATTGGCTTGGTTTGCACCACATGGATCATGAGTAGGCCAAGAATTACCTGTGTTGCTCTCAAGATAGTAGTATAAAGAAGTGGCCACAATGCGCAACCCGTTGTTATGTACGGTCAAGGACTTTGGGAGTACACCCGCGCATTGGTGGGAAACCTGTTTAACCAGTTTACAAGAGACTGACCCCGTCTTCTGTTGCACCAAGCTGCCAGTGCCTTCCTCGCAAGCGATCCAGTTGTTGATGTTGCTCTTGATCAGGAATTCTTTGCCAATGGTGCGCCACAAAGCAAAGTTCATCGCCTCGAAATCTGTCTCACTCAGTGGAACTGTTGTAGACACTCGAGTGTTAGCTGAACTGGCTGTCCAGCTTGGACGCGGCGTGACAGCGTTTGCGTTACTTGTGAAACTTGAGTAAGATGTAAAGGTGTAGCTCCAAACTAGTGTCCAACCCCCACCATCCGTCTGTTGGTCGCAAAAGGCCTGGAACGCGTTACCATGGGAACCACCATCTGGATCTATCCAATAGACGCCTGACACGAGTGATGGCGCTTTGTGTT